TTACTTACTTATTTACTTACTTAGGCGATCCCTCCTTGGCCGAGTAGGATAGTCTTCCAGGATCAGTATTCTGGTGGGTCCATAGGTGACTGTGGAGCCCTATTTTTGATCTGCATCTTCTCCCACAATGAGGGCATTGGTTTCCAGGTGGAAGGCAGTCTCGGTCAGGGTTGGCTTGATGCGCCTTCCTCTTAGCACTTTTCTCTCTTTCACCCTCCATTCATGCCTCTTCAAATTCTGCAGCACTGCTGGTCACAGCTGACCTCCAGCTGGAGTGCTCAAGGGCCAGGGCTTCCCAGTTCTCAGTGTCTATGCCAGAGTTTTTAAGGCTGGCTTTGAGCCCATCTTTAAATCTCTTTTTCTGTCCACCAACATTCCGTTTTTCCCACTGCCATATAACCCAGTCCAAAGAATATAACGTAGAATTTAATATAGCTGTGTGGAAGGGGCCTAAGATAATCCAGTTTAAATCAGATAATATGGATTTTCTGCTTTGATAACGTGAATTATCTGGCAGTGTAGAACCATCCTCAGCATTTGGGACAGCATATTTTGGTTTATAATTCATAGCATCCTGGGTTGGGGATTCTGGGAATTTATCTTTCCTTTGATACTAGTTCAGAGCACACATTGCTAGTCAACATGAAAAACCAAGGACAAACTCAATACTGCTACACTGATCCATCAAACCAGCATGCCCAAGCTGCCCAACCCACAGACCCTTATGTCTCCTGTCCCATTGGGAGGGAAAAAAGCAAAAGAACCTTGAAGCTACTCAGGGAAAGTAAGAGAAGAATAACACAAATTGTAGTTTCTGTCTCTGTTTTGGGCCACTATCTAAGTCTGCTTCCATCTTCCTTGGCACAAACAGGGAAAGCAGAAGTCAGGCCAGCTATACTTCTATCTTGAAGTACCAACTCAATTTTGCACTGACCTTTACATGCAGCCCTCTCCAAGGTATTGGTTGGAAGAATCCCTATCATCAGTTCCAGGCGGAAATTCAGCCCTACCAAGGTTCCTCATTCCTGCACCAACAGTGGTTCCCATGATATTGGAATTATGAAACTACTACAGGTTTTTAGTTTCCTTAAAATTTAAGGGAACTGACCAGGGGCCTAAACCCTGAAAATGAAGGAAACTGACCTGGGGACTAAAGCTCAGGTCTTGCCAATTACTTCCTCTGAAATATTGCTGCAGTTCCTGGTATTAATTGGCAGCCTCCCATCCAAGTATTAACAAGTGCTGATCCTGTTTAGCTTCCAAGTTCAGAAGAATTTGGTGCCTTCATTTAACCCTCTTGTTTTGAGGAAAGTACATGCGAAATCACCAGAACCAACCAAGGCAATGTTGAATTAATTTCCTCATGTTCTGTAAAATCCATATACCGTATATATTCGAGTATAAGCCGACCCGAATATAAGCCGAGAGACCTAATTTTACCACAAAAAACTGGAAAATGTATTGATTCGAGTATAAACCGAGGGTGAGAAATGTACCTGCTACTGGTAATCGTCAGTAGGTTAAATGTTTTTGAGTATTTACACAAAACTGTAATTTAAGATAAGACTGCCCAACTCTGATTCAACCATAATTCTAATCTCCTCCAATGTAAATGTGCTCACCTATTACCTATAATGATAGAATAAAATAATAAATATAATAACATGTAATAAAAATAATAATAGAGTAAATAATGGAAATTTAATAATAATAGTAATATTTATTTATTATTATTTATTATTTGCACTTGTTAACCGCCACTCTCAGCCCGAAGGCGACTCGTGGCGGTGTACAGAACATAGAACATAAAGACAACGGTTACAGTAAATCGGGATCATAACACACATCTCACTAACAACAGAAATTAACTAAAAATCCGCTTCGTCTTGTTTGGTCCTAATCAGTCTCATCGTCATAGTCCATTCCGGTGGTCATTCCAAACATAGCACTTAATTGAAGGCCTTTTCGAAGAGCCAGGTTTTCAGGCCCTTACGGAAGGCCATGAGGGAGGGCGCCTGTCTAACTTCCGCAGGGAGGGAGTTCCAGAGCCGGGGGGCCACCACCGAGAAGGCCCGCTCTCTAGTCCCCGCCAAGCGTGCCTGCGAGGCAGGCGGGACCGAGAGAAGGGCCTCCCCGGATGATCTCAAGGTCCTCGTGGGCTGGTAGGCCGAGATGCGGTACTCAAGGTATTTTGGGCCGGAACCGTTTAGGGCTTTGTAGGTTAGCACCAGCACCTTGAATTGGGCCCGGTAGCTGATCGGCAGCCAGTGGAGCTGGGACAGCAAGGGCGTTGTGTGCTCTCTAATAATAATAAAGTAATAAATGTAGTAATAACAATAATAGAGTAAAATAATACATGCAATAAATATAATAATAGAGTAAAATAATGTAAATGTAATAATAATAGAGTAAAATAATCAATGTAATAAAAATAATACTAATAGCAGAGTGAAATAATAAATAACCTTGACTCAAGTATAAGCTGAGGGGATTTTTTTCAGCCTAAAAAGGGCCTGAAAAACTAGGCTTATACTTGAGTATATACAGTAATTGAAGGAGCAATAGTTGTCAGCATAACCCAGAAGTTGGCAAAACCAGCTCTCCTGCCCAGGATCTAACAAAGTTTCTAAACTAAGGCCCTTGTGAAATAAATTACTTTATGATGCACATATTTGACAGTGTATTTCCTATTTGTCGTTAAAATAATAATAATAATAATAATAATAATAATAATAATAATAATACAAAGACTCTGGCACAAGCCAGTCAAGGTGGTCCCAGTGATGATCGACACACTGGGTGCAGTGCCTAAAGACCTTGGCCTGCACTTAAACACAATTGGCGCTGACAAAATTACCATCTGCCAGCTACAGAATGATGCATGCATCATTCGCCGATACATCACACAGTCCTAGACACTTGGGAAGTGTCTGACGTATGATCCAATACAACAGCCAGCAGAGTGTCGGCTGTGGACTCATCGTGTTGTGTTTCAAATAATAATAATAATAAAAATAATAATAATTTGCACCCTGCCACCATCTCCCCAAAGGAACCCGGGACGGCTCACAGAAGCACTCCAAGTGCCACATGCAGACAACCATATATAAGTATTAACACAATAACATAAGTATAATCAACAATGCATAAGAAGCATGCCTGTCAAGGATTTCTTTGAATTAAAGCTGAGGCGCTAAAGCTGTTCATTTGCTGAAAAGGCAGAGACAGCTTCCAAAGGTACAAGATTATAAGAAGAGCCAATGGGAGCACAGCACAGACTTCTGCAGTCCAATATCCTTGTGACCCATTAGATGCCCATGGGGTGCCCACAGGTTGTTCACCAGCACTGTTATTAGGAACCGAGTGTGCATGGGGAATGCACACTGCCCTCTTAACATCCATCCAGTTCTGCTCATGTTAAGCCACTAAGTACCTTTAGGAGACTAATTCCTACTGAAAGACTACACAGAAATGCAACTTGAATTTAACCTTGGTGACCTGATCATTTCTTTTTGTAAATATATCCAGAAAGGAAGGTGTGTGGGTGTGGGTGGGGGGGAGAGATCAAGGTTAATGTTCACATGAGTCATTCCCTTGCCCTCCAAATATAGAGCCTTACCCCTGGGCCTAGTTGTATAGAGATTGTTATTGTTGTGTGCCTCCAAGTCATTTTTGAATTATGGTTACCCTAAAGCAAACCTATCAAGAAAGCAAAGCTCACAACTCTGAGAATGCTTGCTACAGATGCAGGCGAAATGTCAGGAGAGAATGCTTCTAGAACCTGGCCATACAGCCCGAAAAACATACAACAACCCAGTGATTCTGGCCATGAAAACCTTTGACAATACAGTTTTGGGGGGCTATATGGAGTATATAGCTGTGTGGAAGGGCCTTGGGATATATGGCAATATGGACTCAGATAACCCAGTTCAAAGCCAATATTGTGGGATTTTCTTGATATTCTGGGATATAGGACTGTGTGGAAGGGCCCTGGGTTCCATGGTTAAGTAAACCCTGGTTTCCAGAGTCAGAGGGCCCTTCCACACAGCCATATAACCTAGAATATCAAGGCAGGAAACCCCACAATATCTGCTTTGAACTGGGTAATCTGAGTCCAAACTTGGATAATGTGGGATTTCTTGCCTTGATATTCTGGGACATAGGGCTGTGTGGAAGGGCTCCCAGTTCAAAGCAGAAAATTTGAGATTTTATTCCCCTGTGTAGAAAGAGTCAGAGCCTTATGTTCAAGCACTACACCAAGTATCCTCAAACTATGGTCCTCCAGTTGTTTAGACCTCCAACTCCCAGACCACTGAACAAGCTGGCTAAGGCTTCTGGAAGTTGGCCCAAACAGCTGGAGAGCCACAGTTTGAAGATGCCTGCACTACACCATGTAGAGCAAGCATCTTCAAACTGCGACCCTCCAATTGTTTGGGCCTCCAACTCCCAGAAGCCCTAACAAGCTTGTTCAATTGTAAGGAATTCTGGGAGTTGAAGGCTCAAACAGTTTGAGGATGCCTGATCTAGAGATTGACAGTCAATATTTTTTGCTGAAGGAAATACAATCTTTCTCGGCTCAGGTTACTTTTCCTTATTTTTGTTTCATATATCCCTGGAGTTGTCAATTGAACAAAGGGGCTTATGGGGTGATTATAAAATAACTTTTCAGTGAACCCATAGATGACTAGTAGGTCAGCCCAAGAATCAATGAGTTGAGTGCAGAAGACAAGCAGACCTAAACAAATCTGGAGCATTTCATTCAATAACTAGGAAACTGTTTTGGGGACTCAGGGCTGAGGTCTAGATTTTGAGCCTGGAACATCTCATTTAGTCACATCTGCATTGTGTATATGTCTCCCACTCTAATGGATCGATTGATCTATTTATTTTTTTTCAAATGTGCCATCTGTTGTCTCTCTTCTCTCTCTCTCTCTCAGCTTAGCCTGGCCTTTGAGGTTAATTCACAACACCTGACCAGTTTTAACCAGCTGAGTCTATTATCAGATTAAGGACAGGAGACAATCAGTTCCAAAGGAAGACACCATCTAATGCCAAAGTTGTCTTTGACCAGAGAACTGAACACAACAGAGGACTTATTTTCATCAACTCAGACAGATGTATCTCTAAAACACCGTGGAGTTTTTGAGGGGGAAACACATCAAAGGAGGTAGGTTGATGTTCTTTCCTAGAATGGGGTTGGTTGAGAGGCAAGGTATCACATAAAGTAGGTTTCCAGCATACCTTTCCATGGCAGAAAGGGATATTCCTTTCCAAGTCTCTTAGTCAGAAATAGGGATAGAGACAAAATTTGTTGGGTTTCTGTATATCCATAAGGTCTCACTTGAAAATGAAACAAAGTGAAGAGACTTCCTTGAAATGGTGGCATCATCAATGTGAGTGTGTGTCTAATTAGACCAGTGGTTCTCAACCTTTTTTAAAAAATCAGGAACCACTTCGAAGTGGGACCACTCTCCAACATTAGTACCAAAAGGGTTATGAATCAGTTCTTGATCAAATTTAGATTCCGTTTGGTTATTTGGGGTGCTGATTCAGAAAACTGCACTGGATAGACTTCATCAGCTCTAGTTTCGGATACAGAACATATGCCAACCAGTAGTCACCATCTGCCCATCTGCTCGCCCACAGAAAACCATATTTAATAAGCTTCAGCACTCTAAGAGGGTTTTGTGAGACCAGTCGCTCTCGTTGCAATGGTGTATTAATGGTGAGGTCGTGGACCATATTTTAGTTCTTGTGGACCACTGGTGGTCCACAGGTTAGGAACCACTGGATTAGATATGGGGCAGAAGTGGTTTGTACATTCTCCTTCCCCAAAAGATATTCAACACTCCACTGGATTTTCTTCCATTAGGCAATTTTTTACCAATTATTTTTTAGTACTTCTGTAAACTGTGGATCCCCTGAATGTACGGATATCTCCCACTGGTTTATGGGTAGAAAAAAAATGGCTTCATAGAACTGGCACTTAATTCCAAACTTCAGTATTAAAGGTTAATGACCAATCCAATATTTTTGTGAAGGAAACTGAAGCATCGCGTTCGGAGAATTGGGAGCAATAGACCAGATTGTTCTAAAGGAGGTGGTTTTCAGTGTGAGATCTAATCACAAAATGTGTGATTAAGATATGATATACTTTAAGAATTGTTTGAGTAAAAATGTTCACATGAAATTCTTCGTAGGATGTGAGATTACTCTAGATGGGGCAAATGTTTTGCAAGGTTGAAGGAGAGTGGAAAACCTGTTATTTTAGATCTCAGGGTTTTAAAAAAGTATCTAACTAGCCAAGGCTGTAACCAGGGGGCGGGTTTAGGGGTTCAACCCCCTCCCCCCCCCCCATTCAGGTTTAAAAAAACTAGTTTACTCATGAATTTTAACTGGTTAACCAAATCCCCATGAGAAGCAAACATTGAATTGATTTAATTGATTCTATATAAAATATAGAATGAACCATTCTATTTAAATTATTTTGTGTTATGGAACCACTCTTCATGATTCACTAAATATTTTTTCAACCCCCCCTCCCCATTTTTTTTTGCTATGGCACTGCAACTAGTATTTTTGTTTTTTCAAGTTTGTGCAATTCCTGACATCATCGTAACACTTTATTCCTCCTTCAACTGAATTTCTGTTTCACTCTGAGACATTTGCTATTGCTGGGTGCTTTCAAGTTGTTTCTGATTAATGGAGCGCCTAAGGCAGTGGTTCCCAACCTTTTTTTTTTTACCAGGGACCACGTGGACCAGGGACCACTCTCCAACATTAGTACCAAAAGGGTTACAAATCGGTTTTTGGTCAACTTCAGATTAGGTTTGGTTATTTGGGGTGCTGATTCAGAAAATTGCATTGGATAGACCATGTTAGCTCTAGATTAAGATACAAAACATATGCCATTCATAGTCACCATTTGCTCACCCATAGAAAACCATATTTAATAATCTAGAGCTGATGTGATCTATCCAATGTAATTTTCCTGAATCTGCACCCCAAAATAACCCCAGGAACAGGCCTAAAAATGAAGACACCAAGAAAATTTTTTTGGTTGGACTGTGTTATTATCCATAGAAGTAACAGTGAGGCTACAGACCATATTTTAGTTCTTGCAGACCACTGGTGGTCCACAGACCACAGGTTGGGAACCACTGCCCTAAGACAAACATATCATGGGATTTCCAGATATTCTTGAACAAAAAAAAATACAATTTTCTTGTCTTTCTCAATCTCTTTCTCTCTCTCTACGTAGAATTACAGGGCTATCGTGTGCCAGAGAAATTGCACGTTTGCATTAGAACACTTTAACACCGAGCATGCATCTGTCAAAGTAATGAAGTTTGGCACACTTTAACTGCCATGGCCAGGCCCGTAGCCAGGATTTTGATTTGGGGGGGGCTGAGTTTGATTCGGGGGTGGGGGCTGAGTCTGAGTGAAAGAGGGTCTACCCTAGCAAACCTTTTGTATCGTTACCCCAATACCCCCATGCATATGGGATATATTGAGCATGGTGATCAGATCATGATATGAATAAACATAACAGTTTAAATAATGTAGCAGTAAGGCCTTCTCGCGGACCACCATGAGAATTTCGGGGGGGGTTTGAAGCCCCCAAGCCCCCCTCCCCCCTGGCTACATGCTTAATTAATTAATGCTCATGAGCGTAGTCGTTTTATAACTTTGTTGGTCTTCTATACAAAATAGTGCTGGTGCCTCACCAAACTAAAACTTCCATGAATATTATACAGCAAAGATACACCCTGAGAAATCTGTAGATCAGAGGGGAGACAAATTGCTTTCAGGATCATTTCAGCAAACCACGTTTTTAAAAAAACATTCAAAGGAACAGTAGTCCAGATCCAAGAATTCACTACAAACAATCCCCTGGGTTATGTGTAGTGACTTCTTGGATCTGGACTACCCCCCCCCCCCAAAACCGGGTTCTGAAATTATATGTATTAGAATTTATTTATTTATTTACAAAAGGATATGCAACTTGCAGCCCAAGAACCGCTATCAACACCAGATTTAATTCTTTGGCCCCATCTCCCCACATTACTCTGGCAAAAATCTAATTTAGAAGCTGCAGCCTCATCTACTTTCTCTCCTTATAAGAACACTTGCAAGGATCTTGTAGGCCTCCATGGCTTGTTCTCTACTGTGTCATGTATTTTTAGCCTTATCCTGCCAAAGCAGTTCCATTTGCATGTATTTGATCTGTAAACTCCATCAGCATTAGCGCAAGAAGTGCTAGCTTACTTGAACAGGGTCATACAGATTTGGATTAAGTATTTTGTCCCAATAGCAAAATAGTTCAAGGGAAAAGGTGGAGGGTGGGAAATGAAACCTTTTAATAAGATACTGGGGAAGCATGTAGGGGAGAAGGAACAGCAGATTCATTCTCCCTATTTGTGAAAACAAAATATTCTTGAAGAACAACATAATATTCTAAAGTGTCTAGATATTCTGAGACTGACTTAATGAATAGTAAACAATGCATTAACTCATACTATTCAGTTGCTACAGAAGAGTTTGTAAAGGAAGAATCTGTGCAACCAAATAAAGAGAAGTCTAAGAGTGTGGTTGCATCTCCACTCAGTTTTATGGAAGCATGGGAGTTGTTTTGGTGAGACTTTCACAGAGAACACTAAAGACTTTGTACAACTACAGTTCCCATGATTCCATAACATTAAGCCATGGCAGTTAAAATGGTGCCAGACTGCATTGATTCTATATGCAACCTGTGCCCGATAGCTTGGACTTGCATCATATAGAGCTTCATAGGCCATTTGTTTCTAGAGATTCTTCCACACAGTTCTATATCCCAGAATATCAAGGCAGAAAACCCCACATAATCAGAGTGTGGACTCAGATATCCCAGTTCAAAGCAGATATTGTGGGATTTTCTGACTTGATATTCTAGGATATAGGGCTGTGTGGAAGGGCCCTAGGAACAATTGCAAAGCGGTAATAATGGATGACATTGTATGTTTCACCATGAAATTTTCAAAAGGTTTACCTCTAGAACAGTGGTTCTCAACCTGTGGGTCCCCAGATGTTTTGGCCTCAACTCCCAGAAATCCTAACAGCTGGTAAACTGGCTGGGATTTTTGGGAGTTGTAGGCCAAAACACCTGAGGACCCACAGGTTGAGAACCACTGCTCCAGAAGAATAGCAGTTACTTTCAAGTGTTGTAGAAACATTGTCCCTGGGACATTCTCAGGATGTTTTAGACTGGTTGGAGGGAGACCTTGTATAAGACAGAGTGAACCAAATTATAGGAAGACACTCGGAGATTCAAAAATGCTTTTGGGAGACAACATAAAGGGCACTGGCTGTCTTTCCCCACCCTTGTTTTTTTGTCTGTCTCTATGGATCTTCCTATCAGAAAGTGTGGCAAGCTATCTAACATGGGGTGGGCAAAATGTGGCCCTTGACTGCCTTATCACATTAAGGCTTTATTTCAGACAGTCCCATTCTTCCTGAGTGAACAGAATTTTGGGAAATGTAATTTAGAGTGGGGCCTTTTGTATTCTCTGCCACAGGGGGTCCTTGCCTTCCCAAACTACATTTCCCAGAATTCTGATCGCTCAAAAAGAACAGGACTGTCCACATTAAAGCCTTAATATGATGAGACACTTAATGCTGTTGGACAGCACTCCAAGCATTCCTCAGCATTGATTATGTTGGCCAGAGATGATGACAGCTCAATCCAACTGCAGCTGGAGAATCACATTTAACCCAGCCCTGAGTCTTGAGCCAATGAGGGGAAGCTATTTCATTTGAAGAACTGTATTCATATTTAGAGAGGTTGCATTTGGTGCTGGATAGAGACAAAAGCAACCAAAAATCACAGCATATTTCAAATGAAAAGTTCTTACTTTGCCTTAGAAGAATGGAGGGGAAATGAACAAATGTTGAGAGTTGATTTGTTTGTTTCCCGCCGTTTTCCCAATATAATAATAATCTTTATTTACATCCCATCATCATCTCCCCAAAGGGACCCAGGCGGCATACAAGGCACTCCAGGGTGTACGTATAACATACAAAGTTTTAAATGGTACAAAAGTATAAAACAAGTCACATAAAATTATAACAACATCCCCCGTCAACATATGTAGCATAAAATCAAAATAATACAAATTTAAAATAACAGTA